CCATTTTAGGCAGAACCCAGGTAAAAATATTAAAGATGATTCATAATATAGGCAAATGTTCTGATTGCCTGACAATTAGGAAACAGTAAGTTCTGCATATCTGACGGCCTGATAACACTGCCTTCAGGCACATGCTCTCGTAAAGAGTAGTGAGGAAAAAGTGCCTTCTCTAGAATAAAGGTTTGCAATATATCTCTACTAACTATGGGAATATTATGTGGTGAGCTCCAATCTATACCCTAATGCGACTCTCGTACAAATGTATGAAAGCCATGAAAACAGAGAAAAGTAGGCAACCCAGCAGCAAAGAGATAAACAACCGCCATGTGGCTGTTTATTCTTGTATACCATGACTGCTCCATTACTTTGTACTTCGCAAATTAGTTCTGAATGTCAGAATGTGATCTTTATAGTGTGTACAATAAACAAATACATGATATTCGTACAAAGTCTAATATCAGTATATTATCATTCATAAATATGTTATACGAACAGATCATAGAAACAATGTCAGGTTACAAAAATCACGCATGAGATTATTTACAGTTACAGTTTGAATTAATGCTTTAACCATCATAAACAATTACAGTGAAGTATTTTCATTAGCTACAATGAAGTATTCATTAGCTACCACAGGACAGATAAAAAAAATATATATAGTTAATGAAAAGTCAGCACCAACAATTAAATTAAGCGACTGCAGAAATTCACACTCGACTATAAATGTTTCGAAATTGAATGGGCTAGGATATTCTCAAATATGAACTTCTCAAAATCTAACATGCCAAAACACACTCAATTATGCAATTTTCAAAATCTAATGGGCCAAGACACACACTCAAATATGAACCAAAAATCCTAACAGTTTGCAATACACAAAAGTATGAACTCAGAACCTAACAGGCTAAGACACATTCAAATATGAACCAAAAATCCTAACAGTTTGCAATACACAAAAGTATGAACTCAGAACCTAACAGGCTAAGATACATTCAAATATGAACCAAAAATCCTAACAGTTTGCAATACACAAAAGTATGAACTCAGAACCTAACAGGCTAAGACACATTCAAATATGAACCAAAAATCCTAACAGTTTGCAATACACAAAAGTATGAACTCAGAACCTAACAGGCTAAGACACATTCAAATATGAACCAAAAATCCTAACAGTTTGCAATACACAAAAGTATGAACTCAGAACCTAACAGGCTAAGACACATTCAAATATGAACCAAAAATCCTAACAGTTTGCAATACACAAAAGTATGAACTCAGAACCTAACAGGCTAAGACACATTCAAATATGAACCAAAAATCCTAACAGTTTGCAATACACAAAAGTATGAACTCAGAACCTAACAGGCTAAGACACATTCAAATATGAACCAAAAATCCTAACAGTTTGCAATACACAAAAGTATGAACTCAGAACCTAACAGGCTGAGACACATTCAAATATGAATTTGTCAAAATCTAATGGACTAAGACACACTTAAATATGTACTTTCCAAAATCTAGCAGGCTAAGATACACTTAGGTATGAACTCAAACTAACAGGCTAAAATGCACGAAAATATGAACTCAAAACTTAACAGACACACATTTAAATACAAACTTTTTAAAATCTAACAGGCTTAAACATAAAACTCATGTCAAATGAAAAGATTCGAACGGAAAGACAAAATTAAAAACTATTCATGAAGTAACTTTAGGACTAGCATTCACAAAGAACGTACAACAAATGGCTCATGGATGGAAAGTGGGTGGGTCAGTGGTCAAATCAGTCCTAAGCGCTGAAATAAAAATATTTCATTTGTCCCTTTTTATTTCTTTCAACAACTCTCTTTTCATCCGAAGTCTCTGGAGCCATTGTATTTCACCGTTTTGTGTGTGGTTTCCTTCGTCTTCTTCTTTTTTGCTCATCCGAATGATGTAAGTGAGTTGTTACTGTTTACAACAAAGCTGCAATATTTGTGCCTTTCAGCCGACTTCATCAAGCATTTGTTGACCGGATTCACTTCCTGGGTTTTTTCTATTCTCTAATAACCTTTTATAATCATGTCCCCACAGGGTTAAATGGAAGCCGCCGTGGTGTAGCGGCTAGATGCTTGCCTGAGAATCTGAAGGCTGTGGGTTCAGGCCTCAAAGGTGCCATAACAACAAAACAAAATTTTTGTTTTCAGGTCGACCCAGCTTTAAATGGGTACCAGGCAAAGACCTAGGAACTAAAGGCGGCCAGGGTTATATTGACCATGTCACCCACCGAGCAACGATTGGTCTATAAAATATCAGTTTAGCCCTAAATGCTCAATAAGCCCAAACCAGGGCAAAGGGTATATACTTCACGTTTACACAGCTACATGTTTCCTGCCCCACCAATCCCCAAAATGTCATCTTCTTCATCTGACTTTGATCTTCCCCAGGCGCTCAAACCTAATGAAGAGCTTTGGGAAAGAACTCAGGGTGATGACAACCTTATAAATGCCATGCATGTCTACAGGTGTATTTGTCCATTCTTTTCCGTGACTGATCTCGTCTAGGTCTCACACCTGTTGGATTTAATCTTCAGGCTTGATCTTCCAGTGAATCAAGAGGTGACAAGAATCTGGTATTGGGTAGGACATATGTTGAGAAAACCTCAGATCTAGAATGTCTTTGCACTGGAACTCACAGGGTCATAGAAATAAAGGCAGACCAAAAACAAAAACATGGAGAAAGGAACTAAAGCATGAAGTTAAAAAAAGATGGGGAGGACATGGTGTGAACTGCAGGTGACAACACAGTACAGAATGACTTCATGTGAGTTGGTTGAGGGCCTATGCTCTACTGGGGAAATAAAGGGCAGAACAAGAAAGCCCTTGACCAAGCTAAGACCATTTAGACTTCTTTTACGCTTCACTGGATTTTGCAGTTATAGCTTTCTATGACATGATGAAGCCAGTCTGCCACCAAACCTTTTCTAATGCCTCATGCAGGGTAATATTATTCTCTGTTCTCCTCTAGACTCCAGTAACAGTGAGATGAATTCCTATATGTACATAACTCTAGCATACCCATGTGGGTCATATGGTCTTATTTTGGGAAGAAAAAAAAAAGAACACACCCTTGCCAGAATGGCTTGTCATAAAATATGACTACTTCGGATTTTGCCAATATCTCATGTCTTGAGCTAAAAGTGTTGCTTCAACACTTTTCTATTCTAAAGTGCATTTGGCGCATAGTGCTGGACCAGTCTTTATAGACCAATCAGCACTCAATGGATAATGTGGTCAGCATCACATGGTGACCTTCACCTTCCAGGACATTAGCTACTACCCACTGTTGGCATTGCCAACCTGGCAGCTATGGTCAATTTTGAAAGAACAAAATCTGCCTTGAAGCGGATTTCTTCTTCTTTCGTTTGCTGAAGCACATTTGAACTCTAGATCTCGGGCTGGTAGGTAAGTGTCTACCCACTAAGCTACCATGCCCCCCAATCCCTTTTTGCTCCAAATAAAAACAAAACCTAACAACTGACTGAAAAAGTCTACTACCAGTTGATTTAATACACTCTCATTCTAACTTTGGTGCATACAATTTATATTACAAAGTGCAGTGTCTTAAAAAAATATGTACAAATAGAGTGAGGTCTTAAATCAGCATTACATATTATTATACTGATACAGTGATATATATGTCATTAAGAATTTCAGTGTTACAGTTCCAACATGGACATAATATTCCATTTGATCACATTTCAATTAGCATGTAGTATTAGAATCTCACACCACACAGTACAGTCTAGAATCTCACACCACACAGTACAGTCTAGAATCTCACATCACACAGTACAGTCTAGAATCTCACACCACACAGTACAGTCTAGAATCTCACACCACACAGGACAGTCTAGAATCTCACACTACACAGTACAGTCTAGAATCTCACACCACACAGTACAGTCTAGAATCTCACACCACACAGTAAAGTCTAGAATCTCACACCACACAGTACAGTCTAGAATCTCACACCACACAGTACAGTCTAGGATCTCATACCACACAGTACAGTCTAGAATCTCACACCACACAGTACAGTCTAGAATCTCACACCACACAGTACAGTCTAGAATCTCACACTACACAGTACATTCTAGAATCTCACACCCCACAGTAAAGTCTAGAATCTCACACCACACAGTACAGTCTAGAATCTCACACCACACAGCACAGTCTAGAATCACACACCACACAGTAAAGTCTAGGATCTCATACCACACAGTACAGTCTAGTATCTCACACCACACAGTACAGTCTAGTATCTCACACCACACAGTACAGTCTAGGATCACACACTACACAGTACAGTCTATAATCTCACACCACACAGTACAGTCTAGGATCTCATACCACACAGTACAGTCTAGAATCTCACACCACACAGTACAGTCTAGAATCTCACACCACACAGTACAGTCTAGAATCTCACACTACACAGTACATTCTAGAATCTCACACCACACAGTACAGTCTAGAATCTCACACCACACAGCACAGTCTAGAATCACACACCACACAGTAAAGTCTAGGATCTCATACCACACAGTACAGTCTAGTATCTCACACCATTTAGTACAGTCTAGTATCTCACACCACACAGTACAGTCTAGGATCGCACACTACACCGTACAGTCAAGAATCTCATACTACAGTACAGCCTAGAATCTCACACCACACAGTACGGTCTAAAATCTTACACCACAGTTTAGAATTTCAGTCTCAAAATACATTGCAAAGCAAACCTCACAATACACTAAAAACCTCACAATGCACTGAAAACCCTCATAGTACACCAAAAACCTTACAGCACTTCAAGTTTCACAGAACTCTATACCTCACAGTTCACAGAAAACTTGACTATACACTGAAAACCTTACGCTACATAGTTTATCCTAAAGCCTTACAAGATGAGATTAAATTACTGCACACATCCTCACTTCCTCTAGCAGGTCTGCCAGTTTATCTGGGCCGACTGCTGGTTCCAGTTGCATTCTTTCTTCTAGCTGCCAGCATGTCATAGAATGGGTTGTCATTTATACTTGCCCTGGAGACAGAACAAGCAGTATTTTGTTAACTCTTTCTGTCCCAAGCAACGCAACATGTGTACAATGTTTATGTCTATGTGCATCAACGCAACATGTGTACTCAGTTTATGTCTATGAGCATCTACGCAATATGTGTACTCAGTTTATGTCTATGTGCGTCAACACAGCATATGTACTCAGTTTATGTCTATGTGCATCAACGCAACATGTGTACGCTATGTCTATGTGCTTCAACGCAGCATATGTAACTCAGTTTATGTCTATGTGCATCAAGACAACATGGGTACTCAGTTTTTGTCTATGTGCATCAAGGCAACATATGTACTCAGTTTATGTCTATGTGCGCCAAGGCAACATATGTACTCAGTTTATGTCTATGTGCGTCAAGGCAACATGTGTACTCAGTTTATGTCTATGTGCGTCAAGGCAACATGTGTACTCAGTTTATGTCTATGTGCGTCAAGGCGACATGTGTACTCAGTTTATGTCTATGTGCGTCAAGGCAACATATGTACTCAGTTTATGTCTATGTGCCTCAAGGCAACATGGGTACTCAGTTTATGTCTATGTGCGTCAAGGCAACATGTGTACTCAGTTTATGTCTATGTGCGTCAACGCAACATATGTACTCAGTTTATGTCTATGTGCATCAAGGCAACATATGTAACTCAGTTTATATCTATGTGCGTCAAGGCAGCATATGTAACTCAGTTTATGTCTATGTGCGTCAAGGCAACATATGAACTCAGTTTATGTCTATGTGCGTCAATGCAACATGTGTACTCAGTTTATGTCTATGTGTAACAATTTGGAGATAATGCATTTTTGAATTTTAAAGCCCTATCCCTGCTGTGGTTGGTGGCCCTAATTATAACCCTATGAGTTGAACAGGGTTTCTGGGACCTGTCCCTATGTGATCCTTATCTTAGTGGTGGCACTTTGTGTCCCCAGGTGCTTGTCGCTGGGTGTGATGTCCTGTTGGGGTTAAAATGTCAGTCAGTCAGTCAGTCAGTCAGTCAGTCATTCATTTTCCCATGGCAACTTATGGGCATAAGTCATGGACTTTCTGAATCACAGAAGAAAAAAATAGGAGCTTCTGAACTGAAATGCTATAGAAAAATTATCTTAGAATAACATGGACCAAGAAGAAGAGAAACATAAACTGGCTCATAAACAGCAACCTGTCCCGAAAGTTGAGATATTTTGACTGTGTTAAAAGATGTGGTGGCCTGGAGAGAATGGTTATGGAGGGCACATTTTCTGGACAAACCAGAGGCAGATCTCTACAGAGGCCAAAACAAGACACTGAAGATGCACTGGCTATGAAAGCACATGGGGCTGGTAAACTGACTAGAGGAATAAAGATGTGCCGCGCAGTGATGCTCTATAAAGGATCTGCTGATTGATGATGATGATGATAATGATGTGTCTATATTATCTATACAGTATTCTGTTACTGAAGTCAAGAATAAATATTATGAGTTTGAATGGCTTAGTGGGTAATGAACAGGCAGACAGATAGACTGGACCTGCACCACTGCATGGTGAACTGATACATGACAAGGCAGATGTGGTCAAGGCCCTTTGGGAACAAGCAACAGAATCAGTAGAGAAACAAAATTATTATGGCCTGGAGAGAATGAGGCACCTGGGTGTAACCAGAGGGTCTGAACGGCTCACTACACTCAGAGGAAAGTCAAGACGAACATATAACCAGATTGTGACTGGTACCATCAGTATTGGAACTCTGTGCTGGCTGCTAAAGATGAGGACGGAACAAGCATGGGAATGCCCCGAGTGCTGTGATGTCAATTCTTGACTCAACTCAACTGAACTCATGCTACCACATCTAGCTTGTCATGATTCCAGCCCCCACCTAGTGGTGCAGCACCAGTAAGTCTGCCCATATGAACACACTTGCATATCTTGGAGAGAATATCCAAGGAACGCTAACTGCCAAGGACCTCTGATGTGATGCTTGCTAATGAAGCATGCCTTTACTAGACTGCGAGCTTTGTGTGAGGTATAAGGACATGGCAGGATGATGATAATAATAAAGAGAGAGGGGAATAAAAAGACCAAAGTGAACAGCATTATCACCTGACACAACTGATCCATTCATCTTTCTCCTCCGCACAACTGGCGGCCATCCTGTATACACTGTGACGACCTGAAAAAAACAAGAGTAAACTTATGACATCATTGTCTATATTGTATGAGACTATACTGACTATACTGTGTGTGTCTATATTGTCTATATTGAGTGTGTCTATGTGTCTATACTGTTTATGTCTATACTGTATATGTCTATATTGCCTATATGTGTATATTGTATGTGTTTGAACTGTCTATATTGCATGTGTCTATACTGTATGTGTCTACAATGTAAGCATCTATATTGTCTACACCATAAATAACTATATCGTACATGTCCATATTGTATGTATCTTTATTCCATGTGTCTATATTGTATGTATGTATATTGTCTATACCCTATGTGTTTATATTGTATCTATGCATATTTTCTATATTGTATGTGTCTATTTTGTATGTCTATATCGTCTATATTGTGTGTCTATATTGTCTATGCATCTATTTTGTCTCTGCGTCCATACTGTCTGTGTGTTTATACCGGCTATCTATGTGCAACTCAAGGGCATTTAATAGTTACTGTGCTTACTTAACTCCATTAAAACAGTGATTTAGTTCTTAGCAGAGAGGGAGTTCCACTACCCCCTGCCCAGACAGCACAGCTCAGGTGTTAATCCAGCCTCATTAGATTCTCTAGAATCCCTGAGTGGGTTCCAATTGGGGAGGGGGTGGGGGACAATAGATCTACCCCCTCCCACCACAACATCAAGCACGTTGTAAAAATCAGGTGACTAACAAGGGGCTTGCTAAAGTCGGATGTGTTGTGTTGAAAAGCAGATATTGCAGTCTAGCTGTAAACCACAAGACAACATAATATGAGAGCCGCCCTCTTGAGGGTGAACCCAGAAAGAGAAAAAGAAGATTTTCTAAAATCTTGAAATGATAAGGGAGGGAGAGGGGGGGGGGGGGGGGATCAGTGATCAAGGAAGACAGTCCTTCTTATAGATGCTTCAAGCTCCAAGCTCTTCCAGATGTATTTATTCTCACTCTGAGATTCATTGCCTTATAGCAAAACAAGTTAGAAACAACAATTCAGTACTGTAAGAAGGGGAGTTGGCAGCATAGAGGTCAGACAGGCAGTCGCCTGTTGGTCTATTAAAGTCTTAGGTTCAAATCTACATCGAGACTAAAATGGGTACCAGGCAACATGTTGAGAAGTAAAAGCTGCTGGCGTGATGTTTACTATATCACCAACCCAGTGCCGAATAGTGTATAAAAATATAGACTGGCATCATATGTTTGATATGATACATCATGGGCGTAAAAAGGCTCATTCACTTTTTCATTCTTTTTAACTGTAAGAATGCAAAAAGCATATATTCTATTAGGAGTGATAGGAAACATAAGCCAATAAAATCACATTCTTATATATATATATATATATATATACACGCACGCACGCACACACATTTTATTTTGCAGCGACTGAAGACTATGGTCAATGTTTGTGGCAAAGTTTGGCTTGCTTTACGGAAAAAATGGTGACATTCAACCAGCATCCCAGAAGGGAGAGCTTTAGGTTATAAACGTGACTAGGTTATGTGCACCACACAAAATGCCTAGGCATTGCAGGCCACCACGTAGCAGCGTTAATGCAATCTCAGGAGACAGACCCAAATACTGTTCCGATCGGTGACGAAGTCATCAACTTGCGAGCCAATAGGCAACCCCGGTGGCCGGTGCTGTGGCAAAGCAATTATGCCCTGTAAAGTCTTGGATACAGTTTCAGACTGTGTCCTTTAGTTCTCTTCTTCTTCTTCTTCTTCTTAGCGTTGACCGGCTGTAACTCCGATTCAATAATCTGGCTGCTCATCCATTTCTGGACTTTGAACTTGATCCATAACTTGAGTTTTACAGATCTGGCTTATCTGTATGCAAACTGTTGGTTCCTCATCTCTCAGGCAGATGCACTCTGATTTTGAAGGAAACGCCCCTAATTAGCCACCTTTTGCAGATGTCAATATTTCTTTGCTTCTTGCTTCTAAGAATCTTTCTACAGCATTTCAGGTCAAAAGCCTTGATTGTCTTCCTCAGTGATAGCGGGACTGTCCGTGACCCACAGCCCTATGATGCTTAAGGAAAGATTCATGCTCTTAAAATTTCGACTATGATTTACTTGCTGATGTTTAACCAGAGATTTTTGTTTTCCAGTCTTTGCATTGCAATGCAATGGCCATCTTTCTTTTAAATTAGCTAAAAGTCTCCACTGCTGTTGATTATGAAGCATAGATGTTCAATGTTTGTGACATTTTCAATTTCTTCCAACATAAATCTGTAAAAACACAGCTGAGTGGTGAATTGATACATGACAAGGCAGATGTGGTCAGGGCTCTTTGGAAACAAGCAACGGAGTCAGAAGCGAAGCAAGATTATTATGGCCCGGAGAGAATGAGGCCAGAGGGTCTGGACGGCTCACTACACTCACAGGAAAGGCAAAACCGACATATAACCAGATTACGACCGGTACCATTAGCACTGGAACACTGCCCTGTTTGCTGAAGTTGAGGACAGAGTTCACATGGGAATTCCCCGAGTGCTGTGATGTCAATTCTTGACTCAATACAACTCAACTCGATAAAAGCCTACAAACCTTCAACAACTTTCCCATCAGAATCCACTTTACAAGCCTTGATGATGTCTGATGTACCAGCCGAATACAGTTCAAAGCAGTTTGGTCGAGACTTCTCCGGAGGCACCTCACGGACCTGGATGTTCTCTAGGGGAATGATTCCCTTTGGTTCCTTGTCCTAGAGAAATGGATAAATTTGGAAAAATTTGGCTGCAATGAGCTCAAATATAGACACAACAGTAACAATCTATCGGTTACTGGAAATTAAACCATAAAGATGATTGCTTAAAGCTATTCCTTATTGGAATTAAATGAAGAAATAACAGTCTGACCCCGCTGTCCTGTGAGTGCTTGTTTTGTGACTTGCCGGAGATCCGTAATACTACAGCATTGGGCAGTTGATTCTGCTCTTAGAAAACAGCTTTAGCAATGTTTTGCAAGTATAGTATTTAGATATATATGGAAGATTATATGACTTTATTTATTTTTTTGAAATAATTTTTTTTCAAAAGCATCTAAATGATTTTGTTGTTCAGTTATCACAATCAATATCACTGCACACTGGGTATTCCCATGTGCGCATAGTCCTCTGATGCAGCAGCCACTCTAATGTACTTCTGCTCACTGTTTCCATGAGATGTTGGTTATAATGTCTCCTATCTCGGTTTCGAAGGTGGCATAGACGTGCCTCACCATACTTTATTTCCATGTCACGCAATCATGTTAGTGTCAGAGATCTGTCACTGTCCACTAGCCTACTCCGTACAGTGTTGATGATATTTGCTCTGTCAAAGCTTCTTCCCACAGGAAGGGGTGCACTGCTTGCCAGATGGTCCGCTCACTCATTACCCTTTACTCAAGCATGACCAGGTGTGTAGATCTAGGTGAGGGAGGTTAAGTGTGATTTTTGAATGCTTTCTACCCATTCAGAGCGCATACCACCTGTTGCTACCTTCTGAGGCATGTTCATTGAGTCCTAAACAATTACTGCATGTGTGGCTGTTTGCTCTGCTGCCCATGCTTTAGAAGCAGTGGCTTGCTAGTGCTTTAGAAGCAGTGGCTATCTCCATGGTCATGCTAGATGTAGTTGCCTGGTAAGCGCTGGTGACCTCTTGTATTGTTTTCTTCATCCTTTGTGCTGTGTATGCCCATGCTGCCATTGATTCCCACTTAACAGATTTATCTATGTAGAAGACGATGTCTTCTGTGTGTGAATGCTAATATGTCAGTACCCTTACCTCTGTGTCTTTGGCCACAGGAATTTGAGCCCTGCAGTACTTCCCCAGCGTGATGACAACCTTAGAGATTCCATGCATGTCTACTGGTGTATTCATCCATTCTTTTCCATGACTGATCTCATCTAGATCACATGCCTGCTGGATTAAATCTTCAACCTTGGCCATCCAGGAACAGCCTCTTTTGAGATGCATTCCTTCTGTGTTGCATTCTTGTTACTGTTGTTGAATTTGTTGTTGCAGAATTTGTTATTGATCAAAGGTATTACTTCCCTTTGTGTATGATACACAAGCAGAGGAAAAGTGTACATAAACAAATGTCAATAATTTTAAAAAGTTATTTTTTAAAGATTTTATGAGGCCAAAAGAGCTTTCCATTGCCGGATTTAAATGTACAGAATTCTGTTTAAAGTTATTCACTGCCGGAATTAATTCCAGACTTGACTTGAAAGAACTAAACTGCATTTATCACTTTTGTAGAGTTGGCAGGTGGTCTCTGAAACAGGGGATTTAGGACCGCATGGTTTGGGCAGTCACTACAGATTGTGCAGTTGAGGATTTCAATTTTACCCCAAATAGAAAAACTCATAACGTGACCATGGATTCAAACCTAGTTCTCCCACCTGACAGCCCAGCATTCTTCAGAGTTTGCCAGCCACACCTCACAGCAGAGTGACTGTTTAAATATCTCTTGCAGGAATTTAAAGTAAAACAAAACAAAAGGACCCTTTTCCACGCCTTTAGGCGTATAGGGCATATAGGGCTAGACCTATATTTTTAATAGACAGATCGGCACAAGATGGGTGATGTGGTCAGCATCACGCCAGCCACCTCTACTACCCGGGACTGCACCCGGTATCCACTCAAGGCTGTCGCCCTGGGAGCCAAAGTCATTTTTTTAAAAGTCCGGCTCCTCCAGGGAGCAAACCGATGACCTTCCGATCCGCAGCGAGCGTTGGTAGGAATTAACTTCATGTAATATGCTCCTTGTACTTACTGTTGTGTACTGGAAGTAGTAAAGGCAGTTGTCATTAAGGATAAACCATCTTCGCTTCCAGTTCTTCACTCGCCCACCTGCAGAAGGCAAATTAACATTATGTCAATATGGCAAATAAACATACTGTCACTTACAGCACAATATGAAAGAAACAATATTCAGTGTAGTGAAATGGCAATAATTATGCCACACAGGGTAATTAACAATTTAGTTCAAACTATCATTGTAAAGAAGATCTTCAGTAAATCCACAAATAAACAATTCTAGAACACAGGTCAAATAATTTAGTGAAAGGAAGTATTTACATGTGGATAACCAGTGAGTAAATGCATTGTTTCCTCCAGCACAGTAGCAATTCCCCATGTGTTTTCTGAGGTCCATTTTTATGGAAACAAGAATAGACCTACTAACACGCATGTCATAAAAGGCACCTAATTAAGCTTGCTAAAACTAGATATGTTGGGCCAAAAGGTGCAGATATTGTGACTCAAGTGTAAATCACAAAACCTGTAAATCCAACACAAGTGTGAATCACAACATATGTGTGGACCACAACACAAGTGTGAATCACAACATATGTGTGGATCACAACACAAGTGTGAATCACAACATATGTGTGGACCACAACACAAGTGTGAATCACAACATATGTGTGGACCACAACACAAGATGCCAACCAATCTTTTAAGGGAAAACCAGAAGAAGTATTTACAGAATGGCCAGTGTTCAATCTCTGATGAATCTGTAGTTTTCTTTCTTTTCTGCTGTTCAGCAGGTTCTAACTTTCCTAGTAAGTGTTAACTATTTACCTATTTATTCTACTAGTTCAACATAAGGCAGTTATCTTTAAGACCAACATAACAAATAATAGCCTGGGCTGAGCACTTTAGGATGAGGGAAAGATTCAACAAGACATCAAAAAATGATAACTTTAAACTTAGAAAAATGTGTGCATCTGTTCTCTTTTTATATTTCTATCTCTCTCATGTGGATGTGTTTTACAAAAATAAAAAAGATTTGAGTAAGTAATGTAGATGCATAAAAATGATAATCAAATGCCAATATCAATGGGAATAGGAAAGCCACAAGTTGGTAAAGTGTACAGACTTACTGGCTCCGCCCCATCTTTCTAGACGATAGTTTTATATGGTGCTATAGAGAGAGGAGTGGTAATCACAGCCCACTGTTGTGACTAGCAAGACCCGCTTGAGTTAAGAAAAGTCCTTAAGTGTCAGCATGGGATTTCAGGACCGTTAATGCCATCACATGAAATTATCATGTTTCTTCTAAGTTGCTCAGCTCTCAATCCATCCACGATCATTTTTCCCTGTATTGATATTCTGTTCCTACGAATCCACCTCAATCCCTGTATCACTCATGTCTTATTCAAGTGTACAGATTACGCAGATAGATAATTATGAGTCTCTGATGGTAACCTGACCAGACAGTCTAAGAATGAAGCACTTACAAGGTCCGACAATTAAGTAATGAGACTGATTTTATTATGGCCAAGACAAAAATGCCATCTATGAAGCAAAGCATGGAATCTCAAGAGGCAACATTCATTTATGATCTGGCAACTTGTCATCGCCGCTTGATAAGCAGACAACAAACATTTTGTTGACCTAGTCAGAGGTGCATTGTTATGTAATCAGCATGGAGCAAAAAGTTAACATTAAATTCTTTTTAAAACTCAGAAAAAGCGCCATTGAAACAGCTGAATAATTGCAACAAGTTTATGGGGATAATTGTTTATCTCGTGCACAAATTTTCAGGTGGTATTCACGATTCAAAATTGGTGTGGAAAGGATTACTTATGCACCTAGACCTGGAAGCCAAATTTATGTTCGTAATGATGAACTCATTGCAAAAGTCAGAGAATGGATACAAAATGATCATTGTTTTACTGTGAGGATGAAGGCAGATGAATCTGTTAATAGAGAGACCATTTATAACATTTTAGTGCAAGATTTTGGCAAGAAAAAAGTTGCTAGCCAGTTTGTACCACATTCGTTGTCTTGTGACCAAAAACATCAGCGGGTTGAGTACCCAAGAGACATTATCAAAACAAGCATTTTGGGCCTCAAAACAAGTGTGTGTTTTCAGTCTTCTGCCCTTTTCCCCAGATTTGTCTCCCTGTGATTATTTTCTATTCCCAAAATGAAAGTTACCATTAAAATGACGCTTCTTTAACGATACTGATGACATTCAAAGGGCCGTAACATCGACTTTAGGGGCCATTATAACAGAAGAACTACAGAGGTCGTTCCAGTGTTTGTAAGATCGTGTCACTGGCTGTATCAATGCACAAGAGGCTTACTTTGAATAAAATACAGGTTATATCTTTAACTGGTGATTATTTTAATGAAATTAGTCTCAATACTTAAATTGTCAGACGTTGTATATACCGTCTCTAAGGTGAAGATAAGAGGCATTATATTCAGCTTCACACTTGTTGATACCTCTCCTTCCTCTTAAGTATAACATGTAATATAGACTATATTTCGTCCTTTTTAGGCCAGGGGCCGCAATATAGGCAGGCCATCAATGTGGCCAATTGTCTGAACACGGTTTCTGGGACCTCTCCACGGTGATCCTCATCCGCATGGTGGCACTTTGTGTCATCGGGTGTTTATCGCTTGTGTGATGTCCTGGTGGGGTAGAAAGTCAGTCAGTCAGTCTGTAAGTGTAACATATATATAGCTAACCCAAAAATTAATTTGCAGATGGGGGATGTAAGATTATCAAAAATAGTGCATTAAATTTCAGTAAAGTAACAATAATGCAGGATAATGACATAAAACAACTCTGTGATTATTCGCATGAAAGTCTGTGCAGCTAGCATTTCCCTACTAGTGTCCAACATGTTAGAATATTCAAATCTGACGTTAATGGGTTTGTGTGTGATAATACATAATTCATTTGACAAGCCATATTCAGTGTGAACATGCACAGAGCATGCCTGTCTCAAAGCAAACACAAAGCATTCTAGTTTGAACATCATCAGCATGTAGCATTTATAATTTTCCTAGCAACACATTATTATGCATGTCATTCTCAGTATGAGAATATTTATCCTATGTTATCTCATTCTTCATCTTTTTTTGTAGTTGTATAAAAATTTGCATGCAGAAATTGTTATACTTATAATTATCATCATCATTATTACATATTAAGTTCTCTTTTTTTTTTTTGCAAACATTTCTCCTATTACAACTTTACAGAAAAACTACTTTTTTCTCTTGATTTATTTTTAATTTTTTTGCCTTTAGTATTGCAGCCTGAAAGACTGAAAACTAGTGACCCAAAAGGTCACTTTTTGAATGCGAATCCACTAGCAGCCAATTCCAGAGACCACTGTTTAACTGTATAAATCATGTATTTTCACTCCCAAAGTGCCTTTAATGTCCCATGTCCACTGCTGCATTGGCAGCTCCTGTTTAGACTTTAAAGAACCGTGCTTTCATTACTGCTCATTCTAAGCTACTGTGATGTTTAATATAGCAAATATATTTTCGGTCGGAGACACGCTACTGTATGTAAAATATTTTCCTTCAATTTCTACATCCAGTTTTTAAAAAAATATTTTTTAAATATGTAACAACAAAATTAGTATTTTGTTTCTTTCTGATACACATCATTTAAGAATTATTCTGTCATTTAAATTCAAAGTTTTTAAAATTACTGGGCTCAGGGCTTTTTTTTTTAATAGTAAAACAGGTACCGGTACTCACCACAAAGTGTCTAAAAAAAGGAGGTGCCAGTACTCACCTCTAAGTATCTAAAAATAAAGCAAATGCTTACCATAAAAGGTCTTTTTTTTTTTTTTTACGGTGCCGGTACTCAACAATAAGTGTCTATTATGGTAGCACAAAAACAACTTTGCCTAAATAAGGTGCCAACTCTACATATGGTGAGAAATAATAGTCCTGATTAAGTTATCAACTAGAGAAAAGCAATGTAAAAAAGTTCAACTCTTGTATAACTAATGCCCAGTATAAAACAACTGTTGCATGGCACAGTATAAATGTGATATGCAGTTATAAATACACAAGTGTTATTTTATCATTCTCTCTGCCCCTTTCATCTACATAAAGAGCAGTCTAACAAGATGCAGCACTTGATAGTAGTTTCTCAGCACTTACTAAATTTGGGGGCCCCTAAACAGCACACAGAAAGACAGTCAGAAACAAAAATGACATATCAGTCAGTGATAAAATATGAAAATTTGTATCAATTATATATTCTGGTCAAATATTTTAATCAATCATATATTTTGGTCACTTATTTTAATTAGTTATATATTTTGATCAGTTATTTCAGTCAATTATATATTCTGATCAGTTACTTTGGTCAATTATAATTTCTGATCAGTTATTTTAATCAATTATCTTACTTAGTCAAATTCAATTACATTTTGGACAAGTTATTTTAGTAAATTATACATTTTTATGTTATTTTAGTCATTTTATTTTTGATCAGTTATTTTAATCAGTTATATGAAGTTACTTTAGTCAATCACATTTTTGATCACTTATTTTGACAGTTACATATTATGTTCAGTTATTTTAGTCAGTTAGGTTTTCTGATCAGTTTTTTCATCAGTTATATTTTTGCATCAATTATTTCAGTCGGTTATATTTTTAATTACTTACTGTAGTTGTATATTTCTGATTTATTATTTTAGTCAGTTCTAATCAATCAGTATCAATATATTCTAGTCAATCATATTTTTTTATCACTTACTTTAGACAATTATATGTTTTGATCAGTTATTTATATTTTCATCAATTATTTCAGTCAATTATACTTTTGATTACTTACTGTAGTTAGTTATATATTTTTATCAATTTTTTTTTCAGTTATATATTTTGATGTTTTGATTGTTAAAACATATTTTTTGTCCAGAAGGATAAATGAAAAATTCTCTGGTTAAAAATTTTTTTTATCAACTCAACTCCATTAATAGCGGATGTTCTTGATGAATGAATCATTTTAATGCAGCAAACCACATTTCCAACATCAACTATTACCACAATTTGATACTAAATTACTGAGCTTCGGATTAACAAGTTACACATTAATTATAACGTGTGTCCACATGATACAATTACCAGTACTCAGTATGTGCATGTTCAAAACAGCTATAAACATTTTTAGTAAGGAAACATAAAGACAACTTACTTTCATGCTTTAAAGTGTACTGGATATATATAGTGCTAACCCCAACTTTTTTCTTGTTTTTAATATTACATAAAGGGTGATAAGATTAATATCATGCCTTTACTTTCTAGAACCTATTTTCTGGCACCCATTTTTTGACTGGGTTGAGCTGGAACTCCAATTCAATTTTTCCTAAACCCCTTTAATATATAATTAGTATGTGAGTAAAAACATAACAGTTAAAACATTTGTAATGCGTTAGTACAAAACAAAACAGTTTAAAATTTAGTATCAGAATGAAAATGTCCAGGCAATAACAAAACCAAAAGAATATGAAACACTTGTATATGTAAACATCAAACATTTAGAAATGTAAAAATCATTGACCTTGCTTCATCAACCAGCCTTCTTTCACTGGATTGAAGAAGGTGTGCATGAGGTCATTGCCGTCATCTTCAGGTATTTTAAATGGTTCTTTTTTGATGTTATCATACAGGTTCTGAAAAAGACAACGAGTTAAACCGTCTGAATGATGGCAGGGATACAAAGCTAGAAACACTCTTTAGAACAGTTTTCAGAGAGTTTTGTATCAGAAACATGATGCCATACCATCCAGCCAGCGATGAATCACCAATTACCCCCCTCCCCCCACACACAATGACAATAATGGAAGAAGAAACATGTGATGTCTCCCATCCTTAGTTTCTTTATTAACACACACCCCCCCCCCCCCAACCCCACCTTTCTTTTTTTTTTATGCAATAAGAACATTATATCAAATTGTGGGTTCCAGGTTCTATTGGTGGGGTGGGGTGGGGGGTGGGGGGGGGGAGGGAGGGAGAAATAGACAACAGACCCACTGTCTCCCTAACATGCATGTTGTCCAAGGCAACTAACTAGGAATGTTTTCTTCAGAGTTGGAGCACATCTGCCTGAAAGGCAAGAAACCAACAGTATGCATACAAACAAGCCAGATCTGTGAAATGAATGTGTATGCAAAACTGAAATGCAAGAACAAGACAAAAGTCCAGAAGCGGACAAACAACTAGAACTTTCCTTTCGCCAGTTTACAGTCAGTAAATGCTGAGAAGAAAAGAAGAAATTAATAGAAACACACACGTAGTTAGGTACAAACTTCAACTGTTCCACCAAACTAAGAGAAGAAATACAATCTAGAATACAACCTGTAAATCAAGTATACTATTTCCTACAAAATATGATAAAATTAAATACTCTATCTTGTAACACCAAGATCACAATATATAAAGCATTGATAAGACCAACTGTTGCATATGGTTCTGAAAACCAGAGGACAACTACAAGAGATGAAGCCTTATTACCTTTTTTGATAACAGGGTCTTATGACGAATCTTTGGGTCCATGAAAGATGCAAACAGCGGAGAGCAGAGAGCGAGAAGCAACATTGAAATTCACGATCTGTTTAAACCCTCATAACAATCTGGCAACAACACCTTTCTAAAAACTTCAATTAAAAATAAACAAAACAAAAAACCATTATTACAATTCTCTGAAACTCTATCATAAGAAACTACGAGAAAGGACGAAGAAGCAGAAGTCTGGAGTTTTTGTTAGCTTTTTTAAATAAAAGTCCAACCAATAGATTACCGTGCAGATGTGAAGGCCACTGATTCATAACGGCTTTCAAGTGTAAGAATTGTTTTACATGACGTGAAATAGAAAGCACAAGGACCGCTTTTCTTTACTCAGACCATAATAAAAGTGATTTTATTCACTGCAAAGTGATTAATTATGAGATTATTATTGTGTTGTGATAACATCAAATTTTTCTCAAATGCGACCCCCCCCCCCCTCCTTTTTCACCATATATAAATCTAAAATTTGGTTGGGGGGGGGGGGGGGGGGGGTTTATGTAAATAGCCAACATGTCTACATAGCATATAGACATACCCAACATGTCTACATAGCATATAGACATACCCAACATGTCTACATAGCATATAGACATACCCAACATGTCTACATAGCATACAGACATACCCAACATGTCTACATAGCGTATAGACATACCCAACACGTCTAAATAGCATATAGATATACCCAACACGTCTACATAGCATATAGACATACCCAACATGTCTACATAGCATACAGACATACCCAACATGTCTACATAGCATATAGACATACCCAACATGTCTACATAGCATATAGACATACCCAACACGTCTACATAGCATATAGACATACCCAACATGTCTACATAGCAGGCGGCTCTTTCCACTATCAAAGCTGTAGTATAAGTGCAGTGGCCACTACCCAAAGACTTAATGTCAGCAAAAATCAGGAAATACCATAAAAACTGCTTTCTTGTGGTGATAGGGTTAAATCCCCATTAATTACCAACATAAAGAGGGCTAACAGACCTGAATGGTTTGGACTACATAATGTATGGTAGATAACAGAGACCCCACCCAAAAAGAAATGCGTGCACAAAAGAGTTTATGGGAATAGGCCCCAAGGCAGATCAAAAAGATGGTGGGGAGATAATATACTGGCAGACCTACAACTTTTGAGTGACCAATTGGAAACAGAAAGTCAATCACAGATAAATGGAGCTTGACGACATCTGCAGCAATGAACCTCAAGGACTTGGAATGCTGAAAAAAGAAGAGGAAGAAGAAAAGGAGGAAGAAGAAGAAGAGGAGGGGGAGGAATATAAAAAGGAAGGAAGAAAGGAAGGAAGAAGGAAGGAAGGAAGAAGGAGGAAGGAAGGAAGGATAGATGGATGGAAGGAAGGAAGAAGAAGAAGCAGCGGCAGCAGAAGAATAAGGAGATAATATATATATTTGTTGATCATTTCCTTCTACACTGTTTTCATTATTTTAAAATCTCACTTTTTCTTGATTCAGTTTTCTGGTAGAAATAATGGCTTTATTTCTAACTACCCAATAATATTTTAAATATTGTTATTCCCCACATACAAACGTGTCTGCTGTCCAAGTCCCACAACTTACAGTCAGCAGTTCCTCTGGCAGGTTCCCACCATCATTAATGCCCCTGTTCATCTGTATAAACCTCTCAACTGTGGGCTTGTCCTTGACACTGGGGTTGTGTAGGCTGGTGTTCAGCATGATGATAGCAAAGGATAACACATAACAGGTGTCTGTGAAATAAGAAATATGTAACGTTTATCATTACAGTGGTTCACATTCAATTAAAGTAGTGACAATATTCTATCATAAACCAGTGTGTCTTTGGGGATGAAATTAATACATCTTTGGGAGATGTAACAGTGTGTTATTAGTACTTCAGTCCTCTCCTTCTGAGATACAATTGTTCGTTATTTGAAGCCCTACTCTGGCTCTTGCTAGGGCTGCAATATAGCCCGGTCATAAATATGGTCTAATGGCTAAACGCGGTTTCTGGGACCTCTCCACCGGTGATCCTCATCCACATGGTGGGACTTTGTGTCATCGGGTGTTTATCGCTTTGTGTGATGTCCTGGTGGGGTGAAAGAAGATAGATAGATAGAACAGTGTGTCTTTGGGGGTTAAACTAGTTGTACATCTCTGTGAGCTTAACCAGTTTGTCACTGGGAAGGGGAAATTGGGGGGGGGGGGCACCTAGTACATCTCTAGCTGTTAAATCAGATCATCTCTGGAAGGGAAAAGGAAGGGGGGAACCGACTATGCAGGACCTACCCCCCCCCCCCCCCCCCCCCCCCCCCACAAAAGCACTTATATCTTTAACTACTGCTCAGAGAGAAGAACTTTAACTACTGCTCAGAGAGAAGAACTTTAACTACTGCTCAGAGAGAAGAACTTCAACTAATGCTCAGAGAGAAGAACATTAACTATTGCTCAGAGAGAAGAACTTTACCTACTGCTCAGAGAGAAGAACTTTACCTACTGCTCAGAGAGAAAAACTAAAACTACTGCTCAGAGAGAAGAACTTTAACTACTACTCAGAAAGAAGAACTTTAACTACTGCTCAGAGAGAAGAACTTTACTGCTCAGAGAGAAGAACTTCAACTACTGCTCAGAGAGAAGAACTTTACTGCTCAGAGAGAAGAACTTTAACTACTGCTTAGAGAGAAGAACTTCAACTACTGCTCAGAGACAAGAACTTTAACTACTGCTCAGAGAGAAGAACTTTAACTACTGCTCAGAAAGAAGAACATTAACTATTGCTCAGAGAGAAGAACTTTAACTACTGCTCAGAGAGAAGAACTTTACTGCTCAGAGAGAAGAACTTTAACTACTGCTCAGAGAGAAGAACTTCAACTACTGCTCAGAGAGAAGAACTTTAACTACTTCTCAGAGAGAACTTTAACTACTGCTCAGAAAGAAAAACTAAAACTACTGCTCAGAGAGAAGAACTTTAACTACTTCTCAGAGAGAAGAACTTTAGCTACTGCTCAGAAAGAAGAACTTTAACTACTGCTCAGAGAGAAGAACTTTAACAACTGCTCAGAAAGAAGAACTTCAACTACTGCTCAGAGAGAAGAACTTTAACTACTTCTCAGAGAGAAGAACTTTAGCTACTGCTCAGAAAGAAGAACTTTAACTACTGCTCAGAGAGAAGAATTTTAACTACTGCTCAGAGAGAAGAACTTTAACTACTGTTTAGAGAAAAGAACTTTAACTACTACTCAGAGAGAAAAACTAAAACTACTGCTCAGAGAGAAGAACTTTAACTACTTCTCAGAGAGAAGAACTTTAACTACAGCTCAGAGAGAAGAACTTTAACTACTGCTCAGAGAGAAGAACTTTAACTACTGCTCAGAGAGAAGAACTTTAACTACTGCTCAGAGAGAAGAACTTTAACTACTGCTCAGAGAGAAGAACTTTAACTACTGCTCAGAGAGAAGAACTTTAACTACTTCTCAGAGAGAACTTTAACTACTGCTCAGAGAGAAAAACTAAAACTACTGCTCAGAGAGAAGAACTTTACTTCTCAGAGAGAAGAACTTTAACTACTGCTCAGAGAGAAGAACTTTAACTACTGCTCAGAGAGAAGAACTTTAACTACTGCTCAGAGAGAAGAACTTTAACTACTGCTCAGAGAGAAGAACTTTAACTACTGCTCAAAGAGAAAAACTGTAACTACTGCTCAGAGAAAAGAACTTTAACTACTGCTCAGAGAGAAGAACTTTAACTACTGCTCAGAGAGAAGAACTTTAACTACTGCTCAGAGAGAAGAACTTTAACTACTGCTCAGAGAGAAGAACTTTAACTACTGCTCAGAGAGAAGAGCTTTAACTACTGCTCAGAGAGAAGAACTTTAACTACTGCTCAGAGAGAAGAACTGCTTCTAAGCATATCCTGAAAGCAATGACATCACATAATTTTCACAACTATAACTCTGACATTTAATAAAAGTAATAAAGGCCAAGGACATAAGCACTTTATATATGCATATACCCATATATACATATATGCGGCGGGGGAAGGGTGGGGAGGAGGGGTGAGCGCGCTTTTATGTATGTATGTATGTATGTGTCTATGTACAAATTCTAACAATTAGACACAAATATTATCTATAAATCAAAGTATGGAATCCAAAAAGGTAACCTTCGTCTATGATCTGGCAACTTTTCATCGCCGCCCGATAAGCAGACAACAAACAAGCCGCCATTGTGTTAACCTAGTCAGGGGTGCGTTGTTATATAATTAGCATGGAGCAAAAAAGCTAACATTAGAATCTGTTTAAAACTCAGAAAAATCGCCAATGCAACAGTTGAATTGATGCGACAAGATTATAGGGACAACTGTTGATCTTGTGTGCAGATTTTCGGCTCGTATTTATGATTCAAAGTGGTGTGGAAATGATTACTAATGCAACTAGACCTGGACGCCGAATTTATGTTCGTAATGAGGAACTCATTGCAAAATTCTGAGAACAGATATAAGAAGATCGTTGTTCTACTGTGAGGATGATAGTAGAGGAATTTGGTTTAATACAGAGACTATTCGCATAATTTTAGTGGAATATTATGGCAAGAAAAAAAGTTGCTTGTCAGTTTGTATTCGACACATGGTCATTTTTTTCCTTCTTCATGACAATGCACCAGCCCAAAGGGGGGTAGTTGTACAGAAACTTTTGGCCCCAAAACAGATGTGTGTTAAATTGTATGCCACATTTCTTGGAACAAACAGAACTAAATGGTGTTACCAACATAAACAGGCCTTGTTTCTCACCTGTATTAATAAATACACCTGGATTGAGGGCGCAGTATCGCTCAGCAAAACACTCCATCATTCTGTCTATTTTCTGGGCCTCACCAGGAAGACGAAAGCTCCACAGAAATTGTCTATACAGATGAAAGATTTTAAAAAAATAACTTTTACAGCATACACTACATCCCAACACCCATCATAAAGTGAGGAAATTATCATACAGATGAAAGATTTAAAAAAAAATTTAACATTTATAGCAAACACAACATCCTCATACCCAATCATAAAGTGCAATACACGATATACTGCACTGTTTTATCAAGCTTTATTCAACTGATTGAATTGTGACAGGCTTTTCTCTCAAGCTTGCGATCCTTAACATTTGAATGTCCTTAATCACCAAGAGGCAGTAGTCTTTTGTGCCTCCCATTACCTACTCCCTTCTGCCACAGAGCAAAACAGTGTTCCACAGAATATTTTAGTACTTAAAACAATATAAAAAAAATATATAAATAAAACTACTACACACAGGACACAACGGTAAGCTTTCTTTGCTGGCACCTTTCCATCTTTCCAGGTGATAGGTTTCACTACGCTTTAGAAGGCATGGAATTCACAGCCGGTGTCAATTAGTACTAGTGATGAAGTTCCTGCTTTCCTTAGCACAGAGTCTAAGCATTTTTTAGAGATCTGTGTTGCCCATACAGCATGATCCTTCCCTCTGCTTGCTTTGTTAACTCCACAGAAAAGTCAACATCAATACATTTAAAGCAAAGGACGCTCCAAAGCTGTGCTCTGTCAGCTTGCTGGAGCTTCCCTGACTTGTTTTCCCAAGACATACATCAAAACAATGTGGTTACAACTGGACAAGAAGATATTGGTTACCTCAAAGCCTGTACAAGGATCATGTCAGTGAACTCATGCAGATTGACAAATGCCTTGAGAACTGCCATATTGAAGTCATTCCTAGAAAATCAAACAGAACAAATGCCTATCAGTTGTTGCATAAATATGAGGCAGAGTGTAGAACTTTCAGTGTTAAGGGTTTATATTAACCATTATTACTTCAATTCTTAGCACGTCAAATCAACTATTTTTTACTTGGAATGATTATTTAACTATCAGACTAGTTTTTTATCTATTATTTATACTTGCATCAAAGTTTAATCAATTACTTTTACAATTTTTATTTAATTATCAGCATTATAGTTTCAAATCAATTATTTTTTGTCTGTTTAACTATGTCTTGAAGTGCAGCTCTTTAAATCAACAAAAGCAGCAAAAGCTGGCCTCTGGTGCTATAATAACCGGGCAAATGAGGCTCATCAGCATGAAAGAGCAGTTGATCCAGGAGAGGAAAAGCTCTGATCTCAAACGTCCACTGCCTTGTGGCAATAATCTACTTATGGAAAGTGCTGTAAAAGTAAACCTTGAGAAAAAAATCTGCAGCTGGACTGCGTCAGACAGTTCAACAGTGTTTACACTGCTGCTGTGGCAATTCCTGCAATGTCTTCAGTGCTAAGCTGTACTGGTACTTGCCATTCTCTTGGCATTACTGGCAACATAGAGAGGGTAAAGACTTGTACATGCTCCCTGGGTAAAAGCCTGTACTCCAGTTCAACAGGCCCAGGCCTGTGCTTTACGTGTTCAATCCAGCATTATTTTTTTTTAACAGTGAAAGTTTCAATTTCAACTAAATTTATGTTACTTGGAATCACTGTTTAACTGCAATTACACAATTCTGCACACTAACTCTTCTGATTCTTCCTTCTTTTCTTGTAACCACTATCTTTGATTATTACACCAAAATTATCCCCCCCCCCCCCCCCCCCCCCCAAAGTTCCTTATTTACTGCCTATAGAGCAAAGTTTGGTGTTCATTCAGTGGGTCTGTACATCTTTCTTACAGTCACCTGTATAAGGAAATCCTGCACAGAACATTCAGTGTGACCAATTAATTAGACAATAATCTGTTCCTCTGACTCTGGGATGCATATTTAATGGTGTCAGCACTGACTGCAACTGTGCTGTGTGTAGTGGACACGATTATTTTACCTAAAAATAGAAACTGAGGGCATGCACATGGTTGTCCTGGCTACCTGTACTGCAACAGAGTTGTAGCCCTTGTGTGGTATGATCAGGCCCCCTGCTACATCACATTACATTGTTTGATGACCCAAATTGTATCCGCCCCAAGAACAAATATGACAGTACTGTTTAGGTGTCCTGTCCCCAGGTTATTACTGAATTTACAAAGGCAAGGATAGCTGTCAAAGAAATTGTGAAAATGTATTAGAAAGGCAACAGCTGCTCGAGTGACTGTCACTTCTAAACTGGAATAGTGGACTGGAGACAATACGTTGACTGTTAATGATATTATTATATACAATTTGATTACTGATGCCCTTTGACATAGCTGTAACATATAAAGTGGCAGAACAACCCAAAACTCCTGGAAATCAAAGGCTCAGGGAATATTTTATTATGAATTCAGGGGCCATAATTATCACTTGTTCAGACTAACCCAACATTCCCGGGAATCCATTCCCGGGGTTCACCCAGCCTCTGGGTAACGGGTACCAGAGTTAATACTCTGGGGTAAATGGAGGAACGTCGCTGTAGCTACGGAGTTGTGAGCGGACAGTGACACAGGCGGACAATTTCTTATCAGCTGTCCGTACTGGTGGCAGAGCACTTATGGTTTATATCCATGTGTCATCGCGCTGGCTCACATCTCCTGACTTTACCTTTTTCCTGGGAATCCCAGGTTTGGGGTTATTTTTAAATTATTAATTCAGGGGTGACAAGGTTCCCGATCCACGGTATGAAGATCACACCCAAATACAACTACACAAGTTTATATCCTCTAACCTTTCTCCTAAATAGTCTCCAATAGCTGTCTTGTTTAACCCCTCGCCTTGGAAGAGAAATCTGGCCACATCCTCTGCGGTGTTCTGCAGCAGGCCATGCTCAATCAAATATTCGATACCCTGTCAATGAGAAGGCATATTAGCTATCTTATTGGAGTCAATAAAAAAAGAAGCCACATACATGAACACACTTTTCACTTCTCTAAATATCTGGTCTACTGTCTAATGTCACAGTAAACACAGCCAAGGACAGTATGAGATAAATTAAAGAATCCTTTTCCATGTCATTAGGCTCACTGGGCATACAGTGCGAGATCTATATTTTTAGACCAATCTGCAATATATGGGCGATGTGGTCATCTTTACTTCCCAGGACTATCCCACCCCCCCCCCCCCCCCCCCCCCAAAAAAAAAATAGGCTTTATGTAGATTTGAACCCATGACCTTCAGATCCACAGACGCAGATCAATTTTCTAGAAAAATGTGTTTGGAATCATTTACTATTTTATCTGACACCACACAAGATTGCATTACTGCCACCACTATCTGATACTAAACATAATTTCCACCACTTTCTGACATTAGACAATAATTTCCAACACTGTCTGACGTCAGACAATAACTTCCAACACTGACATCAGGCAATAATTTCCAACACTGTCTGACATCAGACAATAATTTCCAACATTGTCTGACATTGAACATAATTTCCAACATTGCCTGACATTAAATAAAATTTCCAAAATTGCCTGACATTAAACATAATTTCCAACATTGCCTGACATTAAATAAAATTTCCAACATTGCCTGACATTAAATAAAATTTCCAAAATTGCCTGACATTAAACATAATTTCCAACATTGCCTGACATTAAACATAATTTCCAACATTGCCTGACATTAAACATAATTTCCAAAATTGCCTGACATTAAACATAATTTCCAACATTGCCTGACATTAAACATAGTTTCCAACATTACCTGACATTAAACATAATTTCCAACATTGCCTGACATTAAACATAGTTTCCAACATTGCCTGACATTAAACATAATTTCCAATATTGCCTGACATTAAACATAATTTCCAACATTGCCTGACATTGAATAAAATTTCCAAAATTGCCAGACATTAAACATAATTTCCAACATTGCCTGACATTAAATAAAATTTCCAACATTGCCTGACATTAAACATAATTTCCAACATTGCCTGACATTAAACATAATTTCCAACATTGCCTGACATTAAACATAATTTCCAACATTGCCTGACATTAAACATAATTTCCAACATTGCCTGACATTAAACATAATTTCCAACATTGCCTGACATTAAACATAATTTCCAACACTGCCTGACATTAAACATAATTTCCAACATTGCCTGACATTAAACATAATTTCCACCCTTGTCTAAGATCAACCATACAACTGCCTGACACCAAACACATTTTGCTCCACTACCTCGTTCTTCTGCTTTTGCCTTTAAAGGGGGAGGGGGTGTTGGCACGACGTGGTGTGTTTTACAGCTAGGCTGCCATGTCTGCACCTTCCGACTCAAAAAATCTGATTTCAACAGACTTCTAAATAGTTGCCTTTCACGACATGCTTATAAGGGAGCATAGGGTCTATTCTGTTTTCTCCAAAACAGGGGCAGAGGAACCCATTCAAAGACACCACTGTCTGACACCAATCATAATTTCCACAACAACCGTATCCATTACTGTTTCCACAGTTTCCTGTGACCCCGAGAATATTTCCCACAGTCACCTTGACTCCAGCCATTAAAATGCTATAACGATGTCACCAGCAGTTAGTTATTATCTGACATCCTCAACTACTTGCATTTCCCTTCCATTTTTAGGATTGAAGCAGAAATTGAAACTGGTGACACTGCAGTAGATAAAATGCGGCACGAATCTGGCACGAATCTGCAAATTGCTGGATAATTATTTCCGGCTACCTTACACGATTGCCCTATTTCCACACAGATGCTCCTCTGCTAAATTCATAAACCGTTATTATGCAATCAGAAATTAAATCTATTCTCTCCTCACTCGCTCGCCCAGCAACGTTCGATATCTGATTATGTAGGTACAATCCTGGAGGAATCTGCTTGCTGGGTGTCCCAGTGGACAACCGTTTAAATCTGAAAACAAGTTTCTCTTCTGGCACTATGCTAAAGAAGTGGTGGTGGAGATGCGGAGAGGTGACAGATCAAGGGGAATTCAGGCCGAGCGAAAGAAAGAACTTATTTCCAAAGGATCACATTCGGCCTTTCAAAACACTCAGATTTCAAACATGTTTTGTCTATAAGGAATATTATGATTATAAGACGAACAGACAAATAAATGGATGGATGGACGGATGAAAGACAGACAGGTCGACAGACAGACAGAAAGGCACGCGGACGGACGGACAGGCAGGCAGGAAGAGAGATAGACACAAACAGATGGATGGACGGATGCACAGACAGACATATAGATAAACAGATAAACAGACAGAAAGGTGGGTGGGTTTTCGTTTAGATGGACAATCAGACGGACGGACAAACCGACAGATGGACAGACAGAATCAGAGACATTTCTTTTTTTTTAAATATCCACTTATGCAACGCATTCTACCCATCCACAGATCTGTTTACTTCTGCTTGTGTTGCTTTCTAGTCTGATCTAAATATTCCAGTCTGATCAAGTGCTTCATGTCTGATCAAGTGCTTCCAGTCTGATCAAGTGCTTCCAGCCTGATCAAGTGCTTCCAGTCTGATCAAGTGTTTCCAGTCTGATCAAGTGCTTCCAGTATGATCAAGTTATTCCAGTCTGATCAAGTGCTTCCAGTCTGATCAAGTGCTTCCAGTCTGATCAAGTTTTTCCAGTCTGATCAAGTGCTTCCAGTCTGATCAAGTGCTTCCAGTCTGATCAAGTGCATCTAGTCTGATCAGGTTCCAGCCTGATCAAGTGCTTCCAGTCTGATCAAGTGCTTCTAGTCTGATCAAGTGCTTCTAGTCTGATCAAGTGCTTCCAGTCTGATCAAGTGCACCTAGTCTGATCAAGTTCCAGCTTGATCAAGTGCATCTAGTCTGATCAAGTTCCAGCCTGATCAAGCGCTTCCAGCCTGATCAAGTGCACCTAGTCTGATCAAGTGCTTCCAGTCTGATCAAGTGCACCTAGTCTGATCAAGTTCCAGCCTGATCAAGTGCTTCCAGCCTGATCAAGTTCCAGCCTGATCAAGTGCTTCCAGTCCTATCAAGTGCTTCCGGTCTTTTCAAACTACATTCAGTTCTCCTTAGAAATGCGCGTGTCCTACACGGATTAGCGCTAACCAGATGATCATACTAAAACAGGGCAGTACCAGTCAGCTGAACACATCTGAACAGAAGTCAATGATGCCAACCAGTTACAGAAGACTGTAGACCAGATGAACTCATATGAATACAAATCAGCGCCAACCAGTTGAACACATATAAATATAAGTCAATGCCAATCAGCTGAACACAAGTAGGTGTCAACCAGCTGAATGCATCTGAACAGATGCCAATGCCAAGCAACTAAACATATACGGTCATGCCAACCAGTTCAACACACATGAACACTAGTCTGTGCTAACCACTTGAACACACATGAAAAGAAGTCAGCCCCAGCCATTTAAACACACATGAAAAGAAATCAGCCCCAGCCATTTGAACACATATGAAAACAAGTCAGCCCCAGCCATTTCAACACATATGAAAACAAGTCAGCCCCAGCCATTTGAACACATACAAAAACAAGTCAGCTTCAGCCATTTGAACACATATGAAAACAAGTCAGCCCCAGCCATTTGAACACACATTGAAAACAAGTCAGCCCCAGCCATTTGAACACATACAAAAACAAGTCAGCTTCAGCCATTTGAACACATATGAAAACAAGTCAGCCCCAGCCATTTGAACACACATTGAAAACAAGTCAGCCCCAGCCATTTGAACACATACAAAAACAAGTCAGCCCCAGCCATTTGAACACGTATGAAAACAAGTCAGCCCCAGCCATTTGAACACATATGAACTAGAATTGCATTAAAAGATTAGCAACCAGTGACTCAAAGGGACATAATTCAGATGAGAACCCGACAGCAGCACATTCTAGAAACCCTGTTCAACCATATCTGCATAACCAAATGAACGAAACAGAACTAGCGATTCTACCAGTCATAACAAACTGATCATCTGCAGGTTAAAACAGAAGCCAACCCCAATCCGCTAAACACCATCTGCGACACAGGAACAAAAACCAGTTCCAAAGCAGTGAAAACTATAAAATACGAACAGGCGTTAACTGCCGCGAGTTGAGCCAGTGTGAACAAGGAACACAAAATGGTTTCGGCCACCTGAACAAATAAGTGTTGTGCCTAAGTCTGCTTAATCGTCTGGTTAGATAGATCACGCTTGGCTATGAGCATGTGTTCATTTTTTTCATTAAACGTTAGAAAATGCAATGAGGAGAGACCGAACACGCGATGTCTGGAAAGAAAAACGTTACATAGCCTTTATAAGTGAAGAAATAAGTCTGGGCAATCACTGGTGTCAACAGTTATAAGGCAGAGAAGAGACCGATATATTGGCCAGATTCTGAGAAGAGGCGGGCTTAGAAAGAAGAAAAAAAAACTGCGTCCCATAATTATACAACTGTTTCCAATTTCAATTCCTTTAAAGAAAAAATCAAAAACTCAACCGCGTTCAACCTGCTGCTAGCTAGTCGAAGCTGCTAATAGTTTCCGGCTATATTTGTGGTCTTGTTAATTTGTGCCACTTTCGTGGCTAAAGTTCTGGTATTTGCGCCGTCTGTGGGCTTAATGTTTCTTTCCTCCATGTCAGACCGCTCATTCCCTATCCTGTTGTCAACTGCGTTCTTCTTATCCTTTTATTTCTGATGTTTCCTCCTTGGTTTCAGCTCCTTCTGATTTGGCCAGGCGTATTTCATAGGAGAGCCAGCTTCTCTGCATAACCTCCTTTGGACCACCCTTTATAGTTTTAAAATGTTCAGTATTTTACTTTGCCAAAAAGTACTGAAAACAGTTTTTGGGTTTGCCTAGATCCGCCGAAATGTGCAAAAGGTTCCGCGTGTGACCATAGTAGT